AAGACGAACATTGAGCAGAAGAAAACAGATGATTTGCAATCCATTTTAGCGGATTCCAAAAAATCGGACATAGAGCCGTTATCTTCGAGTTGTATTTGCTTCAAATTAGACAAAACTGGCGTGGAGCCGATTAGAAAAGGAAATTGTTATTGTGCAGATTAAGTACACGTTATTATTTTTGTCAATTCATTATGTAACACGTGTAATTCGTGCAGTAAAAAAGTTCCAGCTAGTATCTTAATAATTTAATATGCATTGCTATAATAATTTTCTCTATATAAATTATAGAATAATTTTATACATATAAATTATTTAAAAAATCACAATTAGAATAAGCTATAAAAATTTATGGGACATTATGATAATGATAAAAAAAGAAAAAGATTGGGAGAGTGGTTAGTAGCGAAATCATGAATAAAATATGAAAAATGCTTCGTAGAATTTAATCGGAATTTGCGAATGGTGAATTCTCATATTAGATTTCTGATCGAGATAGCGCGAATGAAGGTTTAAGGAAGGATAAAAAATGAAAGAAAGAAAATCGTACGTGCTTCTCGATAATGATTCTTGCGATGCTAACATGTGCGAGTAATTCCATTAAATAAGCAGGTTTTTACCGTTTCCTATTATATAATAATATAATAAGAATATAATAGACTCAAAGTGTAAGTAATTAACTCGCAAAACGAATCTTTTTTTTAATCTCTGTATAATTTAAAAGATTCTTGCGCACAATTAAGTCAATACAATTTTACACACAGAGTCAAAATGTTTTTTTCCGGCTTTTCGAAATTTGATTCTCTGCTGTACGTATTTTTTTCAATAATCGGTTTTTGTCACAAATAAAAAGTATAAAAGTTCAAAGCGCGACATTTTTACTGTCAGCGCGCGGCGCTCGTTCATCTCAATGTGGTAAATCGGAACACTCACCGTACGTTGGCCAAGGTGTGTCTGCGGGATCGCAGATTGTGGTAGCCACGCAGCTCGCCGATGCTACCCTGCTCAGCCTGCATCCTCGCCTGTGCCGTCGCGGCGGCACTGGCGATCACGTGGTGCTGGTGTCCACCGGGAGCACCGGCCGTCGTAATACTCCTGCGAGAACGCCAGCCCGTCCTGCTACCACTCGGCGTGGGCGATTTCTTAGGTTGGTAAGGTCTGGAAACGGCGTTGGAATCGTAGGAATTGCTATACCAGCGTGTTTACCGTATTTAAGCGACGAGGTACATATATTTATACACGATCCAATTACTTGAAAATATCTTCAATTATCGCATCTCTCAAAAAAAACAAAAAAAAAACAAAAAAACGTGAAGTCTAGATTAATTACATTCTTAGAAAATTGCTCTTTCATCAGAACATCTTAAGCGCCTGAGAATACATTCGACGATCTGTTGCTGCGTTGAAGAAATCGCGCCCCTATATTATTCTAACCCTATTTTTTTTTAGTGGCTTCCTTCTTTCATTTCCTCATCCTTTTGCTCTGTTTTCATAAAACTTAAGTATACTGAAAGATTTATAAGACTTCTAGTAATGAACCTCTGATTAATTTCACGAGGAGGAAGTGATCCTAAATTGAGCAAAGAATCTAACCTTAAAATACAATTCGATAGATGTATGATGTAAGATGACATATTTCATGTGTAAGAAAAAGATTTATATAATACTCACTTATTATTATACCACTAATAGTAAAATAGAATTGGAGTTTAACGATTTTATAAAATGGCGTCCCGCCATCTGTCAGATGTCACAAGTCACATTAAAGCACTTCAATTTATAATACCGTATTACAAAATTAATGTAGAAATGGTAAGGGTCAAAACCTTACCGACGCTCTCTCCAGACGATTTCTAAATTAATTACGACGATTAATTACTCCGGGTCATCGTATCAAGCCACGTACCCAAG